CCAGGGAGAGGCCCATTTTCATTTGTTCAGTCTCTTTCCCAACAGTGGTTTCCCCAGAGCCCTTCCTCCCCGAATATATCAGCTATTACCTATTTGGAAAATGTGGCCCAGAAGGTTCTCCTGTCCCTTTCATCTTCCACCCTGTCCTTGTGGTCTTATTTTTCTCCAAAGCCAGGCTGTGATTCCTCTGACTTTTAAAAAAATGTCCCTGTGTGAACCCGTCTTAGCAGGCATCGTGGCGCACTCCTGTAATCCAGCACTCGGGAGGCTGAGGCAGGAGGATCGTTGCGAGTTCAAGATCAGCCTGGGCTACAATGTGAACTCAAGGCCAGCCTGAACTGCACAGCGAGACCCTGCCTCAAAAAAGAAAAACAAATAAAACAGAGCACCCGTCCTAGTAGAAGTGCAGGTGGATGAATGAATGGTGAATGAATGAATTCATATATAAGTAAATGAATGAAACAGCCAGTTGGTTGGTGAAGGAGCTCAATTCCCTGCCTGTGTGGCAGTCAGAAACCTGGGAGTGCTCAGAACCAGCTCTGTACCCAGGACTTAGGACTTGAGGCTATCTGGCTGGGGTACTACTCACAGCATTTCTGCAAAGTCTACCCTTGTCACTGCTGGTGGAAGGAATCCCTCTCCCACGTTAGGCTTCCTGTCTAACGTTATTTAGGTAGCTGTCACTCAGTGAGGCCGGGAGCTCCTTCAGGGCAGAGGCCCTGTCACACTTGCACCTCTGCATTCCCACGAGTAGGTGCTTAGCCCTAAGCTGCTGGAGAGACACACACCTAGCCGCCTGTCCTGCGATTCCTTCCCAGGGCCTGGCGAGCCCTGTGGCTAAGTCTGCAGGCTCTGGATAAGATCCCAGTTGTCTGGGTAACCTCCGCCAGTGTCTGCCTCAGTTTCCCCAACCAAATGGAGGTGATGAGAGCACACTTTCCTTACAGGGTTGTGAGGAGGATTAAAGTTAGTACATGGGAAGCATATGACACAGTGCCTGGCGTGCAGGAGGACCTTGGTCTTCAAACGGTAACAACCACTTACGGTGCATCTGTGTCCCAGAGACTGTGATTAAAGCTTCGTCTACATTATTTCAATTATTCCTTCCTGTGGCCTCTCTCAGGTAGGTGATACTCGTGTTTTTCTGTTAGGAAACCGAGTCTTTCCAACGACACGGCGCAGAGTCAAGTCAGCCAGATCGCTCCCCAGGCCCACCGCCCCCCAGGGGTATCAGGCAGGTCTTCTGCTTCCGTCCACCTATAATTAGTCTACTGACCGCCTGAGCAGTGTCTGCTCTTTAGTTTCAATCCTCCATTCATCCCAGCAAAATGAAAACAGCACAAGTGAGCCCGGAAGAGCTATTTGGGAGGCCTGGGGGTGACCAGCACCTTCACCGTGAGCCCAGGGAGACAAGGATAGCAGAAGTGCGCACAGGGCACTTGCAGAGGGGCTGGACATGGAGATGTGGGACAGGAGGTTTGAGATGAAATGCGAGAGGCTGTTCACGGTGGAGCGAAGACGACTGGGGCTTCATCGCAGATGAGGGCAGTGACTCAGCACCTGAGCACAGGACACAAGGGCCACAGCGGTGGCCAGAGGGGTGGAGGTGAGACAAGTAGGTAAGGTATCCCACCAGGTTAGCCAAGCATAGTGGCGCATACCTGAAATCCCAGTGCTAAGGGAAGCTGAGGCAGGAGGGTCTCTGGTTTCATTGCTGACATGAGACCCTGTCTCAAAATAAAGACTGAAAAGGGCTGAGGATGTAGCTCACTGGTAGCGTGCCCTGGGTTCAATCCTCAGTACCGCCAGAACAAAAAAGAAAACTAAACAAGAACCAAAAAAGATAGCCTCCCAGATTTCCCAAGGCAAAGATGTCCCTGAGCCAAGGCAGCCGTGGAATTGGGCAGAGGAAAATATAATCTGGGAGAAGGAAGGTATTCCTGAGACTCTGCGGACAGATAGATCTATTGAAAGCTTGACCGGCAGCTGGCTGCAGTGGCGTATACTGTACCTGTCTTCCCACGTACTCAGGGCGCTCCAGGAGGATCCTGAATCCAAGACCAGCCTGGGCCACTTCATGAGGCCCTGTCTCAAAATTAAATTTTTAAAAAGGCACAGGGCCGTCTGTAGCTCAGTGGCGGAGCACTTGCCTGGTGTGCCCGCGGCCTTGGTTCAATCTCAAGAAAAAGGAAAAGAAAGCTTGGCGGGCGTGGGATACGGTGAGCTGTCAGGCCGCGTCCTCGGTCTGCGTCCTCTGCTTGGTGGTGCGCTGTGCGGTGTGCTGTGTGTGCCAAGGAGCGTCTGAGCCCAGGAGACTCGGAAGAACCTTCTCAGCCCCCCACGCTGGCCTTGGCTTTGTGTCCTCACCGTGTGCAGGCCGGGCTGTGTGACCATAAGGTTCCTTCCAGGCACCATCTTGCTACCTGTGGGACGTCAGGCCCGGGCCTCCTTACCTCTTAGCCCCGGGTGTTTGGTGTTAGTCAAGGTCTTCGCGGTGCGCCTCCTCCGCCTTTACTCCGAGGACATACACATGTGCTCTGAGCGCACGCTTTGAGGTTTCGTGGGTTACTCATCCCCATCCTGCTCCTCCTCCTGGTCTCCCCAGCTCCGTCAGGGATGGTTTTTTTTTTTTTGTTTTTTTTTTTGGTTTTTCTCTGGTACCGGGAACCGAACTCATGACCTTGCGCTTGCGAGGCAGGCGCTTTGCCGCTGAGCTAAATCCCCAGCCCCTGTCAGGGATGGTTTGTAATCTGGCTGGATCCTGGCTGCCGTCCCACGGCCGTGGCCTGTCTGCTGGGTCACGCCCTCCTCCAGGGTCAGGACCGTGACAGTTTCGGTCACCCTTGGTCACGCTCACTCGGTGTGGACAGCCCCGTGGGTGCTGGGACGAGCTGGTTATCACCAGGGTGGGATCTAGACGGAGAGGCAAATTAGCAACCGTATAGAATGTGAGGCGAAGCGCTACCTCCACTTCCTGGTTTATGCACCTTTCTGAGCCTCAGCTTTCTCATGTGTGAAGTGAAGACAGCATCTACCCCTCGGGGCTTTTAAGAGGATTCTTGGTGACAGCGGGGAACCTCTAGGGTGACCTCGCTTGGGAACGCGATGCCCACATTTGTCAGTGTGTGCTGGGCTTTGCATCTGGAAGAGAACCATTGAACCCTTCCAGCTGGAATTCTCCGTGGTCATCGGAATTTACCTGTCGGACCTCACTTGTCCCTCCAGCCCTGGGACAGGCGTCTCCTCTCTCCCTGCGGCTGCCTTGAGGGGGTGGGTCTGGCCTGGTCTAAGATACAGAGAAACATACAAGCGTGGAAGATTCATGCCAACAGTCAAAAGAAAAAGATCAGTAGGCAGGGGCGCCGGCACTGGGGTTTACAGGGCGGCCTGAGCAGCAGGACAGACCTGAGAGGCTTAGCCTACGCCGCCGTCTCCCTGCAGACCTCATCCCAATAAATGCCTCCTGGCTGCTTTATTAGCCATCTCAGCGCCATCATCTCCCGGCTGTGTGACCCCAGACAAGTCACGCAGCCTCTCCAAGCCAAGCCATCATTAGTCAAATGGGGATAGCAGCGTCACTGGGTTCTTTAGCAAATTAAAGGTTACATTCTACATAAAATGCTTTACATGTCCCTGGCACATAGTCAGGGCTCAATAAATATTAGCCACTTTTCCAAATAATAATAACCACTCTGAGGGCCCTAGAAGAGAGAGTCATTCTCTCAGTCCTTTACTTACAGCAGAGTTCAGTAAAATTATTTCCTCATGACCTTATTACCTACTGTCTACCCGAGTAAATATACCCCGTATTATCTTATTCACCATTGAGTGTGCACCTGTAAACGCGTTCCCCTTCATTCTCATTTACAGCTTTGAGTGTCTCCATAAAGGTGCCCCCCTTACCTCATCTCCCCCCGTTTTGTAGGGCCCCTCTTCCTGTCTGCCGGCTCCAGCCTGCCTTCAGGCCAGGGTGATTCCTGAGGGAACCTCACCTGCTGTCTGCACTGGTATTATGCTTCTCAGGTTCCACACACAGCTCACTTGTAGAAAGAGCAATAGTTAGAATGTTTTGACCTTAAATGCGTGTGTGTGTAGGCTGATTTATCTTTTCTACACAAACTGTGTTTCCCCCGGAAGAAATGCCCACCTACTTCTGTCATGAACGTGAATAAGGAGGAGGCTGGACAGACACCAGTGGCACCAGTCTCTGCTGGCACTGGCTGCCCGCCGCGAGGACAGGTGTGGCGCAGGTGAGGGAGTGGGCAGAGAAGGGGGCCCGCCTGGCCAGGGGCACTGCAAGCAGAGGTCTCAGTTCCAGGCGGAGGCCAGGTACAAGGAGGCCTGGCGCGGGGCAGGAGTAGCTGTGGGCAGAGTGGAGGAAGAGCTGGCTGACCCCAGGAGGAGGAAGGGATCGAGACCTGGAAGCCCAAGGGTGCCGGTTGGCATCCTGCAGCTGTTTCTGCCAGCCCAAGAAAGCAGGTGGGAGGGGCTGGGGATTTAGCTCAGCCGCACAGCGCGAGGTCGTGAGTTCGATTCCCGGTACCGGAAAAAAAAAAAAGAAGCTCAAGGTGGGAAAGTCAGGAAGGAGGGAAAGAAGGACTGACGGCCTGAGCAGGGGGTCACCAGACAACGCCTTCCAATGGGCGTTGTTTCTCCGGAATATATTTTTCCTTCTCCGTTCCCAGTGGATGTTAGTGTGCAGCAATGCACATAGACCAGGAGCGCGGAGGCCAGCGCGTGGTCTGTGCCCGCGCGCGTGTGAGGAGGGCATGCCCCAACACTGCTCCCTCAGGTGCTGCTGATCAAAACGCTTCTGCTGCCCGGCCGTAAAGATGGAGATTGTGCCGGGCGCGGTGGCGCACGCCTGTAATCCCAGCACTCGGGAGGCTGAGGCAGGCGGACCGTTGCGAGTCCGAGACCAGCCTGGGCTACAAAGTGAGTTCAAGGCCAGCCTGAACTGCGTAGTGAAGCCGTCTCAAAAAGACACACACACACAAAAGATGGAGATTGCGAGGCCAGGAGAGGAGGAGGAGGAGGGCAGCGCGGATGCAGAGCAGGGAAGGGCTCCCCGCTCTGCGAGGGCTGTGGCGCTGCAGCGGGCGGAAGCGCGGGCTGGAGTCCCGGGCCTCGCTGCTCTGCCGCGCCTGCCCCCCAAAACCGAGGGAGGACGTGCAGGCGCCCCGGCGCTGAAATTCCTTGCTCGGGGAGGGCCGCACCCGCACTTTCAGGCTCGGCGGGGCCGTCGCCCTGAACCCCTGCCGGGCGCGCGGGCTCAGGCCCCAACAGCCTCTGGC